CTGGGCAAGTAAAAATTGTTTCTGGGCAAATGTAATGAGAGGGCAAGTGGTAAAAATCCTTAACGTCAACCCCTGGGATACACTTTATTTGTAATGCAATTATGATTTAAGATGCATCAAATTGCTCACACACTTGTTTAGCAACTATTTTCTCAATAATTTTAGATAAGAAAGGAAGATTGAATTTAGGTCTATTATTGACCAAGTCATTTGGGTCAAGGGACGGTTTCTTAAAGGTATAGTGGAGGATGTTCTTTTTCTGGGTGGATCATCAAAATAAGCGATCCTTCTAATTGTTAACTATTCTGGTTATATGTTGACGCAAAGCCGTCCTACGTGCTCGTCCCCATTTTCACTTACTGGTGGTGGTGAGTCTGCCATAGAGGAAAAATTACAAATCTTCTTTGGAAAGTAAGCTTGTATTAACGATGCAAACGGCACCTTTTAAACAGTGCGTGCACGAGGAGAAATGGGCTGTGCATGCTCTTGCATGCGCTTAATAGACATTGCCTCTCTGGAGTGGGTATAGGGTTATACATGTGCTTTTTTTAAGTGGAGAGTGCTTTTTTTTTTTTTTTTTTAAATCTGCAGTAAGCCTCCACCATAGCTTTAAGTAAAGGCTGATTACAGCATTTAAAGCCTATGGTACATATCTCTGTAACAAGGATAGATTTTTTGCATATAAATTGGAGGAGGAGATCAGAGGGAATACTTCCTTAAATAATTAGGTTGGAAATGGATCTAAGATACAAGTTGAAGGCTTAGATTAAGATAATAGTTTTGCCAAGAGTAAAACTTCAACTCGATCAAAACATTTATTAAATAGCTAGGTTCTATTTTTTTTAAACAGCTGTAATGAAAGTTAGGTCCTGTGGCCCGGAAGCTCTTCAGAGCTGTCTTCTCCCATTTGGTTTTCTAACTTTTTGAACCTTTTTTTTGTTTTATAATTGTTTAAATTATGAAATATTGGAGAATGTGGATGGATCTTCTTCTTCTTTTCTGTCCCTCAGGCTGCTGGCTCCTCCAATAAGGTGAGTATGGTTGTCTAAAATGTATTTATACTCTGAGCTGCCTGGTTTTATTGGTTTGAAGGTTAAGAACATGACGGTAACTGTGGTTTGTCCCTCAGACGACCCCCCGCTCCGACTTTGACGTGGTGGCCAGGTCCTGGGAGGATGGAGCCTACCTGTTCATCATCAAAGTGGAGAAGCAGCAAGCTGGCGGGACTCTGCAGCGTCAGTTCACACACACACACCCTTCTGTTCGGGGCAGACGGCTGCTCTGACTGCTCACCTCAACCAGCCTCTGTTTTTGTTTCCAGTTCAGGTCAGCATGAAGGGTCCTCATGGCTTTATCTCAGCAACCGAGTGGCCTCTGATGGTGGTAAGAGCGCACAGAAAAAACAGGAAGCTAATTCCGCTTAGATTAAACCAGATAAACAGAGCTAACCCATACCCCTTATCACCAATACACGATGAGAAACTACTGAGCAAATGAACTCACTGAACTCAGTATTAAAGGTACAAGCTGACGTCATGCACCAACCTGTTCTACAAGCATCTCTAAACCAGGGTTCCCGCGGATCCTTAGAAAGTCTTAAAAGGCATTGAATTCTTCAAAATAAAACTAAGGCCTTACTTGGTATTAAAATGTCTTAAATCGGTCTTTCGTACGTCTTAATTTTTAAAACATCATAAATAGGATTATTTTTATTACGATTTATTTTTGTAATCTAAATAAAACGTTAAAATTGACACATTTTTTTTTTTATTTAAAAAAAAAAATAATGGCTTGCCATTACTGGTTCCATCCCATTAGCGGAACCAATAAAAAATTTGTTGCGGCCGGGACATTTGGGAGATGCGCCATTTACTTTTTGTCTGGAAAATATGAGCAATTGTAAATGTAAAGAAAATTGGCTCCAGCCAAGAGTTTTCTCCATGGCTAAAACCAGAACCAGGGAACATACATGAGGCTCAGTGGATTTTGTGCAAGAAGCGATTCAAGCTCGGAACGATGGGAATTAAGGCAGTGGAGTCGCACATGCGAAGCACGAAACGCAAAGCGTCAAAATGGAGTTACTGAGAAACAGCCGGTATCTCTCAGTTTTGTTCCACCCTCGTCTCTGCAACGCCTCCACTTATCACCAAATCAAACATACTAAGAAAACGAAACAAAGAAAAATAACTGCAAAAAAGATGTTATGTTTAGAACAAAAATCAAAGTTACGTTTATTTTATTACTTAAAATTCACATATTTT